AGAGACCTCAGACGCAGTGACCATCCGTAGATATTTGAGAAATCTGGCACGAAAAAGTTGCTAGCTTTTTTGATTCAACTCACACCTGCGAATCTTTTTTTTTTTTTTTGAAAATGAAATTGACCCAACACAAAACACGCTCAAACATAACAGACGCTAACCTGCAACACTCATTACGATATCCAAATATCCAAATTGAGGTCGATTTTCAAAAAGTGAAAGAGAGGAGAAACACATATTGCACTAGAAAAATAAATATTTTTTATTGATTTCATTTTCTTATTTCATTTATATATTTTTATATTTCATTTTTAGTGTTATATATTTTTTTACAATGTGCGTTTAGTATCATTATTATTACATTGTCTATGTTTTCATGTAAGAATAATATTAAGCATAATAATAATAACCCTTTATGTTTCAATTTTTCACTGCAAAAAAATGTCTATAGTCGGTCTAAATCTGATATGGGGATTTATAATTTTATAGGTGGCCGCGGAGTTAAGATGCATTTCCAAAGTGGCCCGGAAGATCATTTGGGTTGACCATCCCTGGTCCAGACCATTAAGTTTTTTTTTTCCAATGCAGCTGGCAAACAGACATGGACGTCTTTGGATGCCTATAAGGGCTGCACCGATGTTACTCACTTTGCATTACCCAGGGGGCGCATGTAACTTGATGGTAAGCCACGGACGCGGAGTAACAATGCCCCCGCAGCGCTCTACGATCCTATTAGGACCGGGACCTACGGCTTAAAGTGGATTCCGAACCCCTACAACACCCATGGACAAAGCCGGGATTTGAACCCGATACCTGTGGTACCGAACGCCAGAGAGACCATTAAGTAAAGTATGGAATTATGAACCTATTTCCGAATAGTGTACGCAACTCTCGCATAGCGATGAGATTATTTTGCTCGTTGAGCAAGTGTAGTTTATAGAGTTCATATATAAGGGACTAGACAACATATCATTGAAACATTTTTCAAATCGATGTGGTGAAAAATTGTTCGAGACAATTTTCTCTCTCATTAAAGCACTAAAAGTTCAGGTGCACTGTACTAATTTATTCTAGAGTGACGGAAACGAACAGACAGGTAAACACATATTGGAAACAGGGTTATCAGTGTTTTTTTCTCTCAAGATCTTGAGTTTTCACTTGAAGTCTTGATTTCTCACTTTTATTTTGTATATGGATTTTATATTATATTATGTATTTATTTTTTTATAAATAAATTAAATATATACATGTTGGCTAATTTTCGAGTACTTAAATTTCTAATTTTAATTAATATTCTAATTATTAATTACATTTTAATTACTTTAATTTCTAATTTCTAGCTGATTTCAAATTTTAATTTTTTTTTTTCTGCACCCACAACCAAGTTAAAACGAGTGCATGCGACCTATACAAGTCACCTCAAATAAAGTTAGTACTCATTCGAAAGAGGAATAATATCCTATTTATTTATTTTATGCAACTTTATTTTTAAAGTGGGAAAGGATTGCATATGATAATAAAAAAACACATTTATCAAAACTTTTAAAACAAGATAAATGCACCAGTAGTCCAAGAAAACACTCTTAAATGCAGATAAGGTGCTTCCTTATTGTAAGAGCTGTAATATCGGCTGTAAGACACAAGCGTCCATGAAGAAGCGGGATGGTTGGTTGCTCAAGGTTCAATTTTTTACTGATACGTCTAATCTTATACATACAATCAGTTCAATTTAAAACAAGCTCTTAAAATGAAGTAGAAATTCTATTTTAATTCTAGAATTTCTCAGAAAAAATTCACCCCTTCCGTTTTTGAATTCTCCCTATTTGGGAAATAAAATATCTATCCTAGTTCACTGTTTGTCCTTCATCATGTATATAGTATATACAGTGGTTAATCTGTACCAGATCCTCTGACTCGTACCAAACAGGATATGTACCAAGAGAATTTTTTCCCATAAGAAATAAAAAAAGGATCATGATTAAACCGTTCCTATGAAAAAGATCCTATTATTATTGGCATAATATTCAATTCATAGGATCGGATAAAATAATTCAAACACTGCATTGTGTTAAAATACATAAACGCAAAAGCAATTATATGAAATATAAACATAAACGAAAAAAATTATCATAGAATCCATCCCAAATTTAATTTTCTCTTCTGTCCGTCTGTCTTTACTATTTCAAAACGATTAAGAGTCACCAGTTTCAATTTTTACTAATATTCAGCCCCAAATCTAATGTTTCATAATATTCTATCCTACAGCTAACGTTTACTAAAACTCTATCCCAAATCTAACGTTTGCTAAAATTCTATCCCAAATCCAACGTTTATTAAAATTCTATACGAAATCCAACATTTATTAAAATTCTATCCCAAATCTAATGTTTACTAACATTCTATCCCAAATCCAACATTTACTAATATTCTATTCAAAATCAGACGTTTACTAACATTCTATCCCAAATCTAACATTAATTTAAATTCTATCCCAAATCTAACGTTTATTAAAATTTTATCCCAAATCTAACGTTTATTAAAAAAATTTCCCAAATCTCACGTTTATTAAAATTTTTCCCAAATCCAACGTTTACTAATATTCTGTCCCAAATATAATGATTAATAATATTCTATCCTAAATCTAACGTTTACTAAAATTATATCCCAAATCTAACGCTTACAAAAATTCTATCCCAAATCTAACGTTTACTAACATTCTATCCCAAATCTAACGTTTACTAACATTCTATCCCAAATCGAATGTTTTCTAAAATTCCATATCAAATCTAACGTTTTTGCCTTCCCCTCAGGAAGTCTCGGATATGCCTTGGTCTCTCGTAAGAAATAAAAGAGAGCATGGTTAAACAGTTACTATTATGGCTTGTTAGGGCTTGGACAAATCCCTAATAAGCCATCATAATAACACAAAGCCATGTTCTCTGTATTAATCTTTCACCAAAATCAAAAATTATGATATTATTTTTTACAAAAAAATTGGCACATGAAGAAGAGGGCGGCTAAAAAAAATCAATAGTGATCAACTCCAAGAACTTGAGTTTTTGTGATTTAGTTTTATGACTAAAATACATGAATACGAAAGCAGTCGACCCTATTTGGATCTGAATGAGGATCACCCTATTTGATGTTTACTAAACCTCTGTCCCGAAAAACTTTACTTCTGCCTTCTCCTTAGGATGCAGCCTGATGGGCAATTGGCTAGCGCTGTGTCCGTTGATATAACAGGTTTCAGGTTCGAACCCTGGAAGAGGCATGGATGTTTATTGGTGGTTCGGAATCCACGTTAAACTGTAGGTCTCTATCTAATTAGCCTAAAGTGTGCACAAGATGACCGAAGAGCGACAAACCAAACTTTTCGTTAGGATGTTTTGTGAGATTCGACATTGTCTGGACATTCCAGACAATGTTATTACGGCTTGTTTGAGCTTTGTTGTGAACGACACTTCCCTGCAATAGTTTTGGCATCTACCCATTGGTAAAGATATTCACCCATATGAATTTAATTCCAAGCATGGGTCTTAAACCAAAAACGTTTAGTATGTAAAAGACGTATATCAAGTTAGACTTATTCAAAAGTGAAAGTATACCTAAATACCACTGTATTTTTGCTTACATTTAAACATTTCAAAAAATCGTGCATTTGAAATAAACCAAAAATAGAATTTGATGTTTTAAGGATAAAAATCCTCAATTTTTTTTTTTTTTTTTTTTTTTACCTTGGGCCCAGCTAGCGTGCTAGAACCAATTATCTTAAGCGTGCTAGAGTGTTTTTAAAATATAATTTTATAAAAGATTAACTATTTAGGAATTTTATTATTTTAATAACTTAAAATTTTCAATGAAATACGAAATTTTCATATTAAATGCAGAAATTGTGTTAAGTGGAATTAATTAATAAGAAAAGTTAAGTCGAATTAAAATGAAAGAGTTTGATAACTATGAAGTATTTGATATTAGCATATAATTATTAATTTCCGGAAATCTTTAAAAGGTTTTTAATTTAAAGCTAATTTGCGAGTAATTCACTTTCTATCTCATTATTTAAAAAATAAAGCTGCATATTTTAATTATTTTTAATTATGATTTTTCTCATAAAAGTCCTAGAAATATTTTGTTAGATATTTCCTTAAAAAGATTCTTCTTTTTTAGTAATGAATTGAATAAGTTCACATATTCTAATTAATACTCATAGTTTGTTCTTTAGCCATCATGATTTTCATTTAATGTATATTTTTTTTTCTCCTTTATAATTTTTTTTTATATTGTAGTTCTGATGTATTCATTTATTTATTTAATGTTTAATTAATATATGCATCATTTGAATCTATTTCTTATTTCTTATTTAATGATTTTCTTCATTTTAGTTAATTTGGGCATGATAACATTTAAAGCGGGCAATCATTTTTTTTATTTAGCTTTTTGATTGCGTGAAAGTATTAAATAAGCAATTTTAGTTAAATTATTTATTCTAATAATTAATTTAACCAGGAAAGTTATATTCTAATATATATGAAAAAACTCATTGGGCAAGCATTTCGGGGGAAGGGGTAAGGATTTAAAGAACACTTATTAGATTTGTTTCTATTTAACAATACCCAACCTGATACCTGCCAACCTGATACGAGTCCTCTGGTTGGCTATGTGCACTCCGTTTTATTTTACTCTGTGTTTGCGACTATGTTTTCATTTGAGAGACTCTAGTTGTGTCCATTGAGACCTTCGGCTCTATTCTAAATTAAGGCTGAGAAATGCCTGTCATCTATCCGCCAATCACCCCTTCGACGCTACCAAGCATGTATGACTGACTGACGGGTGATCACCATTTTGAGCATTTATTGTAAACATTGTATCAGAGGAGCACTTTGCAAGGATGTTATGAATAAAGAATGCTTCTTTTATTTCCTGTCTCAATTTTTTGTGTTTGTGCCTCCCCGCGTTCCTTTCGACCCTACAATTCTAATCAATAAATGTATGTTTTATTAATTAGAACACCGAAGTCAAGCATCATTGGGCGCGGTCAGTACTTGGGTGGGTGACCACCTCGGAACACCACGCGCCGTTGGCATTCACAAATTTGGGACCTGAATGGCCGAGTGTCTAGCACTCTGGCGCTCGGTGCCACAGGTTTCGGGTTCGAATCCCGACGGTGCCATGGATGTTTGTAGTGGTTCGGAATCCACTTTAAACCGTAGGTCCCAGTCTCCTATGACTGTAAGAGCGTCACGGATCCAAAGTCAGACTTCTACCTACGGGTGCTCCATCACAACAGAAGCTGCTTCCTTCCCCTTCAATCATGAGTACGTATGGGCTCGTGGGCTTGGCCAGCCAAGTGGGATAAGAAACAACAACATGTTTTATTAAGCTGTACGACCACTCAAAATTTTTCCCATGAACACTGAATCACCCTGCATATATATATATATATATATTATATCCAGTAAAGCCGAATTAAATTTAATGTACAATTTAATTCCATTTTTCACTAATACAGTATATTTTTAAACTTGTTTAATCAGATGCAGTTGTTTGTTTTAGATATACTTGTTTATTTTAGATGCAGAAAAACAAAAACCTTTTTAATAAAGATGGATTTCTAAATGGATAACATAAAATTTGTGCAACCGAAAACTTCTTCTTTCACGAAATCACTGTGTGAAGAAAACCCAGAAATTTCTCACATAATATCCAGGCTGTCGATACGAGACACCAACGCTAGCAGACACCATGGAGTCTTCTTACTTTCTGAAAGCATTGTAATATTTTTCCCATGGGAAAAGTTGCGGCATTTCATTCCCAGGAGAGAGGAATGTATATTCTTTGACAAATACATACCAACAACCCATCACTCAAATTAAACAGCAGATAAGCAGTATTGTGGATAGTTATATTACAAGCAACTAGTGTTTTGTACTAAAGAGAACAACCTGGTACTCAAATATGATAGCAGATATTCACTATCGTGGATAATGAATTCTCATGAAATTAACGAATGTCTGTGCGACCTTCACAGGTCGAAACAATCATAGATGGAATATGGACAACACCATGAATTGTTGCGTCGTGATTAGTGATGGAAAATGTCTACTGCATTGAGAAGTGACGGAAGCTGACCCCCCTCCCCACACACACCGAACGGATTTTCTTAAAGGGAGGTTTTGGGAGAAAAAAGGAGAGTTCCGCGACAAGTCCGGCAGGAGTGTTGTTTTTCTCATTTTCTCTAAAGTGTCTGAACAGGCCGGAGTTCCGATCTGTTTCCAAAGTGAGCCCTTTGTGGTTTCGTGTATCAGGCCGTGTTATAATTAAAGTCTGCAGCAGATCGGGTGCTTTAGATTCCTCGTAGATTCGAGAACTCTGAAAGTCTCAGTCCTTGGAGTGAACTGCAATTGTTAATCAAATTTAAATATTTCCTTTTCATTATTTTTTGTAAATAATTTTGTATTAACCCAGAGTTCTGTATATATATATATAATGCTTGTAAATAAAAATTAAAGTGTTCCCATGAACCTGAAAAGTGGCCCTCTTTTTGAAACCGTTACAGATCCAGCACAGGGAGAGACGTTACAGCATTGTCTGCAACATACACTATCAATTCTTTCGGACCCGAGCTCTCCTTACGCATTGTCATTGAGTCACGAGTCAGACATAAATTTAATCCAGCAAAATATCCAAAATGTATTAAAAAGCGTAATTAAAAAAAACAAGAAATACTTTTTATCATATATTTAAGTTTAATAGTTTTTTTAGTTACAAAATAAAAAAAAAAAGCTTTAAATGTTATATAAATAAAAGTCATTCATTGAAAACAAACACAAAAAAATTAAAATCAAATAAAAATAGACGATTTTAATAGATTTGACGACAATAAAATAGACGATTTTTGTCAACAAGAAACTAAATCTTTTGCTGGAATTTTAGAAAATGTAAAATATGCTAAGTGACTTTAACTAAGTGAAAGAAAGTCGTTTTTTAGAGCGAATAAAACATATTTCAGATGATTTATTAAACGTAAAAATTATGTTTTTAACTCGTTAAAATTATATTTAAATTATGTGAAACTCGTTTAAATTATGTTTTTATCTCGAATTGTTGAAAATATACAATTATTTTTTATGTAATAAAACATATTACAAACAATTTATCAAATGTAGAAACTACATCATTTGCTCGAATTTTGGAAAATGTAAAATATGATAAATGACTTTCCCTAAATAAAAGTTATTTTTTAAGCGAATAAAACATATTACAAACTATGTATTAAACGTAAAAATTATATTTTTAGCTCGAATTGTGGGAAATATAAAATTATTTTTTAAGGAACAAAAGATATTACAAACGCTTTATCAAAAGTAGAAACTACATCTTTTGCTCGAATTTTGGAAAATGTAAAATATGCTATGTGACTTTCTCTAAGTGAAAGAAAGCCGTTTTTTAAAGGGAATAAAACATATTATAGACGATTTATTAAACATGGAAGTTGTTATTTTTTGCTCGAATTTCTGAAAATACCAACTGGATACAAAAATATTTTTTTTAAAGTCTAAAGTCGAAATTCTGTGTGATTTCCAGTAAGTGAAAAGACAAAAAAATTTAGCTCTGTATTTTTATATTTTTTCGGAAATCTCGTAACAGCTTACGATTTTTACGGATTAAAAGAACAAAAAGCAATTTAACCACTCACTTGTTTTTAGGGCAGCTTCGGCATCATAAAAAGTCGTTCCTATCACCAGGATCCAAACTAGGGCGAACATATTTTGCTTTTATTAAGCGTTTTGTACTTCTAAAAAATATTTCTAACTGATGACTTGAACAGTACCCGTTTTCCTAAAAAATGGCAACGCAACTATTTTCAACAGGTGAGAATTTATCTTCAATCCCCCCCTACGATTTCTAGCTCAGGTCTTATCTTCAATTTCCGATACCTTAATGTTTACCGATGCACTAAAAACTGATAAAGAATCCATCTAATGCGAAAGTAATAATTTTTTTCCATAGAATATTCTATTATTCTATTATTAGCGCAGCTCCAAAAAGAAATAGGCTTATTGCATATCTGCCAATCGGATTTTGAAATCCGTACAATGTATCAGTACGAATTTCAAGCATTATTTGTACTTAGCTATGTCAACTTAAAGAAAAAAAATAACTATTTTTAAAGTTAAAAATCAACTAGCAAAAGTATCCCTCACAAGAAATTGCTCTGGGTTTTTTTTTTTTTTTTTTTTTTTTTTTTTTTTTTAAATAATTATGTAATTAAATAACGTAAAATTGTTCTAAATAGCTCATCTGGTGAAAACAAAAACAATTTTATTTCAAAGTGAAAATGATATTTTCCAAGAAAGGACATTCGTTTGGAATTCTACAGTTTTTTTAAATTTTTTATTTTATTTATTTATTTATTTTATTTTTTATATTTTTTTATTTATTTACTTTTGAAGATTGCTGTTTTGCTTTTTGCTGTTACATTTAATTCTAAATGTTATAGGTAACCTGTATATAGACCCAGCAGATTACTGTTATTTTCTTTGACTTTTTTTTTATTGTATTTAGTATGGTTTTTTTTTTTTTTTTTTTTTTTTCTTTAAAAATTTTACCCAACTTTTATTTTACGGTTTTCAAGTACAGTGGCACTTTGGAGTATATCAAGCTGGATATACTCCAAAATGACAGACTAAACAGGATCATATTTATTGAATAAATGAATGCAATATATACAGGATGATTATAATTAAAGTCGCACTTTCGAAATGCTGTAACAAAAAGAACCACTCGTCACAATAAGTTCATATTTGAACTGAAGATACTTGAAGAAGGGGGAAACTGTATGCAATCAAGAAAAAAAAGTTCCTCAGATTTTTCCCATTCAATTGGGTACGACCTTGCCGTGGTGGATGGGCTTTACACTCACAGTATCACAACTGTTGAAGGACTTGGAAGTCATTTTTTTCGTCAAAAACACGAAACAATCAAGCACATTAAATTCTACAGTTTGCTTAATGTGCAACACATGTCAAATACGTTGCCATTTTCATGCAAACTATCACTGGCAGCCGAATTCATTTTCCTAATGCCGCTAACAGCGCCATCTATTACTACAATTTGAAATTTTTTTGATGCCATACCATTTCCTCCTTCTTCAAGTATCTTCAGTTCAAATTTGAGCTCCTTGTGAGGAGTGGTTCCTTTTTTACAGCATTTTGAAAGTGGGACTTTATTATAATCACCCTATATATCTAATATATAAAATTCTCGTGTCACAGTGTTTGTTGCCAAACTCCTCCGAAACGGCTTGACCGATTCTTATGAAAATTTTTGTGCATATTTGGTAGGTCTGCGAATCAGTCGTAATCTATTTTTAAACCCCTAAGTGATAAGGGTGGCCCACCCCTAAATATTTTTAAAAATTTCTTTCGTAAAACAATGTAGTGGTTTTTTTTTAATTTCTTAGTCATGACATTACAGCACGTGTGCTTAAACAAAAATTAAAGTCTTTAATCGGCTTCATTTTTTTTTTACTTTTATTTAATTAAGTGATCTTATATAAATCAACACGTGTTGTGAACTCGCGCCAACAACGGCTGTTGCTTTACCTGTATATATTATACACAACGTTTTCGGGGGAATAGTTTTAATTTAAAAGAGAAATATTTATGTGTTAAATTAATATACGTGTTTTATCATTGCTAAAGGTAAGTCAAATAATAAGAGAACGAATACTGTTATATTTGCACGTGCAGCGTGTTAATGTCTTAAGATAATGTTTTGTTAAGTTAGATTCTTTGCACGTGTAGCATTAAATTATATTTACACGTGTAGCGTGTGTTAATGTTTAGTTAAGCAAAATTGGCAACTTTATTATTGTTCTAAGAAAAATAAAGATGGCTGTTATTGTGTTTTAACTTACAGGTGTAATTGTGTTATAATTTTCTTTATTGTGGCGAATCTGAGATTCCAGTAAAGTAAGTGTTATTTGCAATTCGAAAGCATAAGTTTATCGGAAGCAGAAACTTATAACGACAAACTATTTGGCGGCACTCTGTTACTCCTTTCAGGTGATTTCAGGC